ATTCCTATCAAGTGTACAAGTCTTCCAATTTCTCCCTATCCTTGCTAACATTTTTGTCATTTGGGGAGGGGAGATAAAAGTCATCCTAACAGGTGTGAGGTGATATTTTGTTGTGGTTTTGATTGCATGTCTGATGATTAGTGACCCTGGATATTTTTCTATATACCTGCTGGCCTTTCCTATATATCCTTTTGAAGGAAAGTCTGCTCAAGTTCTTAACCCAGTTTTTAATTAGTGCATATTAATTATAAAGAGTATCAGGTTTCAAGGATGGTGGAATGTGATGGACATCATTATCCAAAGTACATGTATGAAGACTCGAATTGGTTGTCAACTATACTTTATATACAAACGGAGATACAAAAATTGTGGTATATATGTGTATTAAGAATTGTAATGCAAAAAATAAAAAAACAACAACAAAGTACATGTATGAAGGCAAAAGAGAACCAATAATTGTACTTAAAAAAGATCTACTGTGAATAACTAAAAAAGAAGAGTAGCAGGTTTATTGTGTCATATTCATATATGCATATAAAATTTTGAAAGCTTATTTTTAAAATTTGTTAGTTATTTTGCTATTGAATTATAAATATTCCTTTTATATTTTTGATTAACACCTTTTGACATATAGTTTGTAAATATTTTCTCCTATTCTGTAGCTTGCCTTTTTGTTTGTTGTTTTCTTTTTTGTGCAGTGCCTTTTTATTTTGATGTAATATCACTTGCCTATTTTTTGTTTGTTTCCTGTGCTTTTGGATTCATATAAAAAAAATTATTGCTCATGCCAATACCATGACACTTTTCCCACTTTTCTTCTGAAAGTTTTACAATTTCAGGTCTACCTCTAGGTCTTTGGATGATTTGGGGTTGATTTTTGTGAATGGTGCAAGAGAAGACCCTTGATTGTGGACATCCAGTTTTCTTGGCACCACTGGTTAAAGGTACTGTGTCTTTTCCCAATTCTTGATTCATTTGCCAAATTGGCTACATGTGTGTGAATTTCCTTCCGCACAAGCCACTCTTTTCCATTGCTCTGTGTGACTGTCAGGATTTCTCTACTTTTTAACTACTATTCTGCTACTCCCCATCAATTTGCTAGGACTTACCTAGGATCACTAACACTTTTTCTGTTGTGTTTGGTGATGAAATTTGTAACTGACATATAACTACATTTCAAACTGTTTCTGTGAGAACAGTCACTCAAATTACCAATGGTATTTTGGGTTTGATACCTAATTATCAGAATATGAACTTAATTTATGGTCATCTACAAAAGGTAGAAAACAAGTTTTAGGGCTCAATCTCAACTCTGTTATTACCATATTGTACAAGAGAGATGGTAGAATGTGGTCTCTGAGGGACATACTTCATAAGCCCCTGCAGGCAGGTATCTAGCCTCTGGGAACCCAGGTCAAATTAGTGCATCCCTTAAAAAGGTAAATTGTCCTTCTCCTAAACTCATCAAGAAAAAAAGGTAAAATAAAATATACATATAAGATATGTGTATATATATATATATATATATATATATATAGATAGATAGATAGATAGATGTGTGTGTGTGTGTATGTGATATAGAAATATGTAATTTGTATGTATATAGATAGATACATTTAAGTTATTTTCTGATTTCCCTTACAATTCAAATATAGAGTCTAGATAGATAACTTTAAGTTTTTTTTCTGATTTCCCTTACAATTCAAATATAGAGTCTACTATCTCAATTTTTTTACATTGGTTATCTGCCAAGCAAATGAAAAGTAACAACAATAACACTAACTTCTTTTCCCTTTTTCCGTTGATTCTAAAACACTTCATTAATTTATCATCAAAGTTAATAGTCTCAACTTCACTAACATCTTCTTAGATGTACTTGTCAGTAGATCATGTCTTGTTTCTTTGCAAAATATCACCAAGTCCCAGACAATGTCCCAGTGATCAGGGCATTTGCAGTGCCTGGTTCTTGGCTCTCAGACCATACCCTACAGGACTATATCGAGTGTGTGAAGAAAGGATATCTCTATTTGCCTTTGTCTTTAAGAAAGTGAGTAACTGTCTCTTTCTTTGACCATTTCCTCCATGGAGAATTTACTGGCCCAAATTTTTAAAAAAGCTCCTATCGCACTCCCATTTGCTGTAAGTGCAATTAGTTGCAGGTACAAAATTTGGAGCAAAGAGGCCTCTCGTGGCCTGTTGTGCCTGCAGTTATCCAACTGTGGCTGCAGTTTTTCAGTGCACAACTGATTGCACCCACAAAAAGAAAGGCTAAACTTTGAAAATGGGTCCCTTTAAGACAGTTGGGGGACTGCATGCCTCCGGTTGGGAAATTGCAATCTTTTATAGAGGTGCAGCCATCACTCTGGCTGGTGCTGCAAGTCTGAAATCCAGGTTAGGAAACTTGGGTGAGGCAGATGCCCAGCTTGAACACAGGTGCAGAGCAATCCCCGCTCCCCCCCCCCCACACACACACACTTCACCTTGAGCTATTGGTAGATGATGCATTAGTATTCAACATTCCTGACTCCATCTCCTGCTTAGTTCACCAGTCACTCTCCAAAAAGGTTTGCAGAGAGAAGCTCGGTCACACTGTCAATATAACACATTTAACCAACTCTAAATTTGCTTTAAAGAGACAGCTACAAAGATTGACTTTTGCAAAGTGACTCACTCCACCATGCAGCAAAGGTGTCCGTTTGCTCCTGACTGTTATTAACTGTGTCACTGAGTACATAAGAAAGGGTTTTGAAGGAATTCCAGTGTGAATCCACTAATTCAATAATCCAATAACATAAATTCAAGTAATGGATATTAATACTATGTTCAAAACATGCTCACAACTTTTATATCTCTCTCTTTCCAACAGATAGAGCATGCGTCGTGCAAGGCTCCTGATGAAATAATAAAACCCAATTCTCATCTAGAAAAAAGAATCATTATGGGAGGATGGTAATTTACTTTATATGACCTTCAATTGATTATTCTGTGGCTGCTACACAAATATCACAGGAGCTATTGATCGTAAAACCTACCAAATAGATCTCTAATAGCTTTTACTGGGCAAAAATAATTATGCTTGCACTGTGGTCAAACACACATAAACCAATGTGGAGGTATTAATGTATGGTATTATTACCCATCTGTCGAGGAGGTATGGAGAGGACCCTTCACAGGAACACACTATGTCTAAGCCCCATGAAAGCTCAATATCCAAGCCAACAATTACAGCCGGTTATACTGAAAAATTGATTACTGTAACTAAAAGCTAGATCTGGAAAGCAGAGCTGCAGCTTGCTTAATAAAAGTAAAATAATAACAAGAGAAATCCTAATTGAGGAGTCCTGCTGCAGTGGCAGGGAGGACACAGAAATTGAATTTCCCTGTGGTGTCCATAGCACCGTAACTTTTCAGAGTCAAGAGCTTTCTATCCAGTCCAGATCAAGATCAATGATCCACACCCTTAAAAGGTCAGGGTGTCTAATCAAAGAACAGATCATCTATCTCTGAAGGAAAAGTGTACAACATAATCCAGAAATGTGGCACTGCTAGCCACAGAGAGCAAGAAAAACCAAGGCAAAGAGAAACTTCAGTTCCACTTTGGTGAACAGGAAGAATGTTCTGCTCACACAAAATGTGCAGGCAGACTTCTGCCCAGCCATGTGCCACGGGTTCAGGTAGGCCAAAGCAGACAAACAAGGACACAACCGAACAGGGAGCTATTCCCCAAACATTTGGCTCTCAAGTTCTGAGAAAGATATTTTAGATTGCAAAACTCCACAGTGGTTCTATCGCTTGCTCTTCGTCCTCCCCAAAGTCAGCATTTTAAATAATATGAATGTATACATCAATAGCAAAATAAAAAAAAAAAAACACTCCACAACTACTATCAAGTCATTTACATGAGGAATGATACACTTTTAGCAGTCAGAATGAACAGAACAGAATGTTGATAGGACTGAGCTATGGATGGGAAATAAAAAAATAGAGAAAATTTGCTGATGTAATGTGGGCTCAGTGTGTAAGAGTGGGGAAGGCTGGTGAGAGCAATTATTGTATCCCATGGGACAGATCAGAATAATATTCCATGAATTCCACTCATGTATCCCATGAAACAGAACAGAATTGGAATGTGCTGCTAGAGGATTGTGCATTTCCATTGATTGGAAAGGTTTTCCAAGGAACTTAAGTCCTGACCAATCAAATTAGAATACTGATCCAGCCGTTAGTATTTTTTTTTTTTTAATGAACTAGGTGAAGCTAGGAGAGACCCTTCTTATGGATGGGGAGCCTCTACAGAAGAGAAACCTTGAACTTCTTGAGTGTGCCCTTCTTTGTGTTGCATAATATGTCTCTCACTTGTTTATTTCTATTCTTTTTTGGCACTATCAGTTCTCCTGGTTAAAGCCAGAAAAAGTGTAATCATTGCTCTCTTTTTTATGATTTATAATTCAGAAGCAAGACAGGATCAGGGGGTTGAGAGTGATGCTTGGTGTTGCATTTGCTGTTATTATTAATATTACTTAAGAAATATGCTTTCCTAAGAAACCTCAAAGCCACTTGCAGGACCATTGTTTCCCAAGGTCTTGCAACAATATAATCAACATTTACACTGAAGCATTCTCAAAACATGTGGGTGGGGGCTAGATGGTATTCTGCTTGTTCTCAGTTGTTCTCAAATTACATGATAAATTAGATATTTGGTAAAGGTAAACCAGAGGGAGTTATCCAATCTAGTTACAAAATCCATACCATGTTGGCAGGGCTTAGTGTAGCTGTCTCCACAGAGCAGCCAGGAACTCAGCACCACCCTTAACCCCCACCAATCTAAGATGGTTGGACTTCAAATAGTTTGCCTACTTGGAAAAGGAAGACATTCCTGTGGTTCAAGGTCCTGGTCCTCTTTGAAGTGTTCCAATCTGGTTTTATGGTCCTTGAGATGCAGGTTAGGTTTCTGTTTGGGGTATTTTTTTATTTTATTTTATTTTTTTGTAGCCTGTGGAGACTATTTAATCTTTAGTGTTGTGTTAACATTGTTCACCTGGGTTTTGGGCAATAATGCCTGAAGTATATGTGGGCCACAAGGAATTCAAACTTGGCTTTCAAACTCCATCACCGAAAGAGCAACAGACCAGAGGCAACACATTCTATCACTAAAATGTGTCTTCAGTTATTCTTCCCGTCCAAAGGTAAGAATAATTGCTCAACTTTTTAGAGACTAAACCCTGTGAGGGCCCGTGTGTCTACACACATTGATGGCAGACGTATGCAAACCAGGAGTGTGCGCATTTCAACCGCCCCTCTGACTGCCAGCCACGGGCTTGTTGCAAACATGGTCCCAGTCACCCGAGCATACCTGTCCGGTTCCGGCCTTGGAGAACGCAAGGGCACCACAGCCAGCCTGCGAACAGCAGCGAGCAAAGAGGAGGGAAGCTGCGGGCTGTCCCGCAGGTGCGGCCCCACCTGGCGCCCGATTGGCCGCAGCGGCAGCGCTCGGCGGGAGGAGGGCAGATGATGGATGGCCTGTCGGCTGCCTGGGTCCGAGCAGCGGGGCGCCGGCGAATGTAAATAGGAGCGTGCTCTCGCTGCTCGGTGCTGAGCAGAGAGGGCAAGATGCCTGCACAAAGGGACCCGGCTTGGAATGTTTAGATTTTGAAGATTGGTTTCTATTATATCTCTGTGGGAGAAAGGAAAACGCACTCTGGGAAAGTGGAGGGAGAAGAGCCCGCATAATTTCGGACCAATGTTTGACAAATCATTTCGCCATCATAACCATCCACCAACCTTCTCTTCTCAAATTACAAATAGTTTAAAAGTCTTATTTGTCATTCACGTGAATGATGCCTTTTCCAAGTTTGAGAAACGATGGGATATCAGACCCGAAACCGTTGCATTTCTTTTTCTCAAACACTATTAAAATCACAGAAAATTGATTACAGGGAGATAGGATGATACGTTTTAGGTACTCTATGCAGGATAAAAATGACTATTGGCTATTAAATGCTAATAAAACTTTTCTGAAAAAGAATACAATGAAATAGAAGCATGTTCTAGATATGCATTTTGCACATTATAAAGTGTAACATTTTCATAATTTGTCTGGCTTTTACATGTTTAAAAGTCATAAGCAATTTGTATAGGTTTTGTTTGTCCTTGCAAAAGATGACAGCACATGGTTTTAGGCAATTCGATTTTAGAGGTATCTTTTTTAAAACTCGTTATGTTGAGAGTAGGGATTGAAGCAGACAGATGGATAGCAGGAGAAAATATGTCATGAACCACCATAGAAATGGGACTGGTAGCGAGCTATTGTATCACTTGGTCTCTTCTTTGGCAACTGAAGGACAGGTCCATTCACTGCAAGTATTTCTCCTGCGCCAGCCCCTATGCTGAAGGTAATACATCTCATGTCAAGGAGAAAGCCAGTCCTGCCTGTATGTTGATTCATTTGCCTCTGAGAGCAAAGTAGTTTAGAGACACCATTGGATTTTTTTTTCATATGAGGAAAATGTTATTCTAATTGTGCTTTAAAGGACCCACCATCCCCCTCTGCCCTCACCACTGTCTCCACTAAGAAAGTGAAAGTCATATTTAAAATAGCAGTAAGTGAGATTGAAGCATGTCACAAAGGTGTGCTTTCTAAATGTGGTTGAAAAAGAGGAGAGAGGAGAGAGCTTAAGTACATGCATTTCTCTTTCAAACACCACATTTTAATAATATTATTGTATGTTTTTAAAAAGAACTCTAATAATGCCATGAGGCCAACATTGACAGCATTACACACACACACACACACACACAAAATACACAAGTAAATTAAATTCATGCATGTTTCAATACTTACAAAAAGAGTACACTAGAATCCTATGGATTCCATATTGTCAATAGTGAATTTTAACATTATTAGTGAGTAACCATATTGATAAATTTTAATAGCAAGCATAATCTCTCTCTCTCTCTCTCTCTCTCTCTCTCTCTCTCTCTCTCTATATATATATATATATATATATATATATATATATATATATAATTTGCTTAATGATTTCTCTTGTGTTGGGTACTTAGGCCATTTATAGGTTTTAGCAAAGTAAATAATAAAATAAGGAACATTTTAAGGTAAAAATTCTGTATTTTTAAAAAATGTAATGAATGAGCTGTGCTTTTTAAAACATTTAGATAGTTCTTACAATAGTTTCCCAGCTACTTTACAAATAAACAAATAAAATAAATAAAGAAAGAAGAAGTAGCATTCCATTTTGCCAATTAAATATATATATATATATATATATATATATATATATATATATATATATAGAGAGAGAGAGAGAGAGAGAGGGCATTGAGGTAAAATTAACAAATAAATATTGGATACATTCACACTATACAACATACTTTGACATAGTATACATTGTGAGAAGTATCAAGTGTTTACAATATGTTCAGTGTTACTGAGACTATTGGTAAAATCATTTGTATCATAGCAGGTGGAAATTACATCTTTGAAATCTATTTCTTCAGTTATTAATGAAGCTGTTCTTTTCTTTATTTTTTAGAATTGATTTTTCTTCCTCTCTTTGAAATTTCTAGTTCCTTTTTTAATTTAGTGATTGAAGTAGTTTGAAAAACAACCTAAAAAATAAAAGATAGCATTTTCACAAGTCACACTTTTCTCAGTGTTAATTCTGAACTAAGGTTGAACCCCTGGTAGATATTGTTGCAATAAACCCAGCAAGAAATCCCTAACAAAATTGGACTAAGTTTCAATTTGAAAAGATCTACTGAATTTAGGTTTCTGGCAAGCTTTTGCTTTCTTTTCATGGTGGCACATAAAATAATATTATAATCTGTGAAATTACCCCCAAAACTTAAGGTGCACTAGAGCAAATCATATTCTCTCATTAGGAAACTCAGAATCATTGATCATTGCAGTAGATTTCTTTCTAGTCTGAAAATGTGTGTTGTTTTCTTAAGCTGTGATACAGTCGTTTAAAAATGCCTTCCTGCGTTCCGGCACCTTCCAGAAGTGCACCAGTGCCCAGTAAATAAAGTAGCAGCCCGTGTCCCTTTTAGCAAAAGCTATATATCTGTTCAGACTTGTAATTTGCTCCGTTTATATCCTTTGCCCTTGAACTCTGGTTATTAACGCAATGTTTCTCCAAATGATGCCATATAACTCTGCTCCGAGCACATTCACGGTGACACCACGAAAACATTCTAAGGGCCAGGGCCAGAGGAGGAAGGAAAAAAATGTCAGCTGAATTGTGGGAGTTGCAGTGCATTACTGAAAATGGAGCGGCTGTAAAGCTATGACTGTTAATATTCAAATTGCAACAAGGCCAGAGTCAGACTTTGCTAATATTCTGAGGTCTGCTTGGAAAGCAATTTAGCAAAGTAGCTTTGATTGAAAAAGAAACAGCCAGAACACTTCTCCCAAGAAATGATCTAAAAATCTATCAAAGGATTTAAGGCAGGTGTCCTAATTACACATCTTAAAAAATTGTTTGTAGTGAATTTCCAAGGTGGGGGTGGATTTTCTTTCCACTATAAAATGCAGATAATGTACATGTTGAATTATGGACCAAATGCCTTTGTGCAAATTTTAGTGGAATATATCAAATTTTGTTGTAAATAGATTATATAACATGATATTTCTTATGTAAGACAATTAGACATTGATTTTGAGTTTAATACTGTTTTCATAAAAAACCTTATTAATTAATATCATGCAAAATTTTGGACAGGGATTGGGACCAGTCTCCCTGTAGAATATCTGAGAAGGGAATGCACTGATTAACCAAATTAATAATTTAGGTGAGAAAGAGCACAGAGGGTCTGCACAACCTACTTTGTAACAGAAATTGTTTTTCCATGTTTTAGAAAAGGGCATTTACAAAAGAGTCTCTTTGCTTTGAAATGAGAAAGTCACATTTAGAATATTATGCCCAAGAAAGAGCTTGTACATGTTAGCCTATTCAAAATGATAGTTTCCAAAAATGTTATTCCCTCATAGATCTTTAACAGATTCGCTTTAAAGTGATTATTACATCAAAGTATTTTGTGTTAATTTCACCTTGACACAAATAGTTCCTAGCAATGAGATTTAATGTGTACAACTCTTTCTTCAAACCCTAGGCTGAGCATAATGCTATGCATGTAACATTGATGGGAATAGGAAAATGATAGACCATCAAATACTGAATTTCATGCTGAAAGGTAAGCTACTATGAAAATTGTGGGCATATGTCTTTATTCTTAACTCTCTGTTCCTTTAGAAAGAAGAGAAGAAACACTTCTAACCATGCCAATTGACTACACTATCCCCCACTCTAGCATAAGACATGCTTTGAGTACATTAGCATGTTCAAACACATGCACATGCATATTGCCAATAGAAAATAAACAAGCCATGGATGTCCGAGAACACCAAGCTTTCTCATATTAAAATGTTAGCTGTCCTCAGATGAGTGTTATTCCCAGAGGAAAATTAATTCTAAGTTCCAAGAATACTTGGGAAAACATTTGTGTCATGAATACATGCCTGCCTATTTTATTCCTACTTTCCAGTGCACTATACCTAAATTAAAGAAGTTTTTTCCACATTTAATCAATGCCACTTATCTGTGATCATAATTTGAGGATGCTGTTTGCATAAGAAAGACAAAAAAATAGATAAAGTCATTTTTAAAGATTTCTAAGAATGCTAGGTTTTCATGCTTACTGCTGAGCAAACTCAACCCACCATCTTAACTATATCATTCATCTCTGAATTCCTACATAATGAGTGCTTGATAAATGAACACCACACCTATTTGTTGAAATAAATACAAAAATGGATGTTTTGGGATGTCTATATCATTTTAAATCATTTGATTGAAGTGTAACCTGAATTATGGGCTTATAACATAATGACATTTTAATTAAAGTAGATCTTATATTGTGGTTATTTTTATTCTTAAAACCTCAAGATGTTTCTTTTTATATATTTCATTCACAAAATGATGATCCCATTGTGCTAGTTACTAAGTTTGAAGACACTGGATCTTACATTCTCTTCCATTATCACAGGCAAATAACTGATAAATGCACATGAGACTAAACTATATGTAATTTTAGATATGTGTTTTTTCTACAACTGAGAAGTCATGTTACATTATTTGGTAGGAAGAATATACTTATTTTTTGAGAGAGTGAGACCATAGCTTATTAAGGAGTCTGAATGACTTGAACTTGGCTGATTCTCCAAAGAAGATACTTTGCGTTGTCTATCTTGCTCTCCTAATTAAATACATTTTATATATATTTCAGGTTAAATGTGGTGTGATTATACCAATCATAACTTCAAACACTTATTTTTGAAATATTACAAAGAAAATCCATCCCTGATTCTCTCCTCTAGCCTCATTTCCTAATCCCAACTACTTTTTGAAATTTCTACTGTATTCTTTTAGATTTAATTTCCCTATTCAGAAGTAACATTGTTAGTTAGTTTTCTCTTTCTCATTGTTAGTATTATTTGCCCTTTACAAATTATATTGACTTTTAAGGTAACAAAATGAAGATATATCACTTTCTACCATTACTGTCCCTGTAATCACAATGTCTTTAATTTTTCTGAATAAATTTATATTGTAATTTTTGTTAAATTAATGCCTACTGTGTATTGTCGCAAACAAATCCTATTGAGAACTGGGAAAGGAAGTTTTTAATTACTGTTATCCCTGGAATTGTTGACAACTCATTAATTTGTAGCTCTTTTATTAGCTTTCCAGATAGTTATTGCTAAGTCATCACCAAACTTCTGCCAATCTCTGAATCCCAAAACCTTCATGTTACTCTACCAAGACTTTCTCCAAAAAAATCTTTGCAGAGTCTTCTGGTCTACCTCTCTCTAATCTAATAGCCCTTGGTGCCTGAGCACAGCTACCTTTGGGGGACTCTTTGTTCAGTCTCTTCCTGCCATGGGATGTTTGGGCTGTCTCCTACTTTCTGTATTTCTTCTTTTTACATTTCTTAGTTTAATGTCTCATCCATGTGCAGTTCGTCCTCCAGGGACTGGTTCTCTCTGAAGAACTCTGGAAACTTAATATGATCTTCTTGCACACACAGTTTACAGGGAATCTTGGCATAGAACTTTAGGATGGAAACCCTCTTCTTCATTTTAAAGGATTTTCTCCATTTTTAGTGTTGCTACAAAAAAGTCTGAATCTATATTGATTCTAATCCTTTAGTGCTAGGTCCACCCATCTGGAAACTTATGGCATATTCTTTTTCTCTAAGATGTATATTGGTGAGAGTTGGTTTTCATCCATTTTTTCTAGGCATGCGGCAACACATGTCCTTAAGTTCCAGTCATTTTCTTGAATGAATTCTGTGACAATTACCTGCTTTTTGTTTTCTGAATCTTCAATTAAGTTTTGCATTTTATATATAATTCTTAAAGATTTCCCTGAGTTACTAGTTTTTATTTTTTCCCCACTCTCATAGCACCTTGTATATTGTCTTCCTTTATCTCCCTAAGGATGTTCATGGTGATTATTTGATATGTCTTCTCCTCAAATAGTCTTATTTCAAACAGTATTGTTTTTCCTCTGTTTCTTTTAGTCTCTAGTTTTTTATGCAAAAAGTGTTTTTAAAGTTCCAGGTGATACTTGGTTATCTGATCATATCTAAAGGAGGAGAATTTAAAAAGTGAAGGGTAGATAGATCTGGGTATGTGAACAAACCTTACACTTAGCTGTAAGGCAATATATCTAGCTGAGCCATTCCATTGATGAATTCAGTGTTATTCTTTTTTACTCATTCTCAGAGAATCTTCTGGAGGTAAAAGTTCAGTTTTCGGTGCTTTGCTTCCCACTGAAAGAAGACATTTGTGTGTCTCAGTATCTACCCTTCTGCTGTGGAGGAATCCCCAATTTGAGTTTACTACATCTCAGGTAAAACAGACATCCTCTATTCCCATGCAGCTTCAAAAGGGAAAGGAGATCTGGAACTCTGTTGCTTAAGCAAATTCAAACTAACTTCTTCTTCTTCTTCTTCTTCTTCTTCTTCTTCTTATTATTATTATTATTATTATTATTATTATTATTATTACTATAACCCCTATCTTACACTAGCAGGAGTATGTGGTAATGTAAATATGTACTAGTTATTGGTCAAGTTAGAATTCAAAGTTCTCAGATTCACCAAGTCAGTTATCACCCATGTGCTTGCTTTTTCATTTTCTCTCAGATTTTTCCCCCACTGCTTCTTGGGAATGTGAAACCAAAACACAAAAACCTCTTGGTTTTATTTTAGCAGTTTTAGATGATAATCATAGGAAATGTGTATACTCATTCCACCATCTTAATCCAGAGGAAAATTTTTTTGCTTGATTTGTTTCATTAAAAAATAGTTAATAAATTTCATCTAATCTATTAAAATGAAAAAAAAAGTTTTCAATAGAAGAGTAATTATTTTACTTAAGATTATAAAGTGCTTTGTAATTCTTAATTTTTTTAGTAAAAATCCTGATCTACTATAATTTATGATTTTTTCACCTTCCTAGAAAAGACAGATGTTGCATACAACATGTCCTGTGTTTTCCAGAGATGACCCCAATATTTATACTGTTTGTATGTTTTTCTTTTTGAAATAACGTATTATTTTATTAACTGATGAATCCCATCATTGGAATAACTGAGTAAAAAGTGAAATAGTAAGAGCAGAATACACAGAATTGAAGTCTACATTGACCAACAAAGCAAAAGGTACCACACATAAAAGAAGATTAATTTCTATTAATTAGGGTGAAAATTAAAATAGGCAAAATAGCTGATAGAAGAATTATATTCAACGATGTAAGATTTAATTAAAGCAAGTTATTCCTAATTCAACTTGCATATACAAACTCTAATAAACTGAGTGCTAGGCCTTAAATACATAAAACATTAAAATCTGCTATGCAGCATTGAAATATTGAGGAAACTATTCTTCTGAATCTATAATTCTTTGCATTTCCTTTGAGTAAACCTTCTACTTTACAGTGATTTATTGAATTAACCTCAATACATTCTAATTAACAAGAAAACTGGTAGGTATCTAAGAACTCTCTATAATATCATTGCTTTCAAGAATTGTACATAGTGGAGTAAAAATTGAAGTGTATATAAAATAAGATTTTAAAAATATTACCAACTTTAATATCATTCTCATAAGCTTCACAAGTCCAACACAATATATTTCAGGCCTGTGAAGGTCAATACAAGATGACAGATTGAAATATGTTACGTGACTTGCAAAAGTCATTTTTAGGCAAGCTGTTTCCTAAGACTTAAATTAAACATACCTTTCATCAGACTTTTTAAAAAATACTAGACTGTGGTTTCATTTTCCAAGGAATATCACTTTTGTCCCTGGTTGTCAAATGGATTTTACCATTGTGAGAAAAAGCTTAATGGCAAGCAGCAAATACTGATTAAGTGCGGGCCCTTTTCCTTAAAGAAATTAGAAATTAAATGCCAACGATTTTTCTCATAACTTGTACTTTCTTCCTGAGGTTATGACTGAGAGAGGGACTTTGTCCTGATGTTTATCAACAAAAGATTTGAGTCAGACAGAGGGGGCTTTGAACCCATGTCTGACAATTATTAGCAAGCTACTTAACCTGCCTGTTGTAACCAGTTACCTCCTATGTAAAATGGAGTCTGGTGTTTGTTAGAATTCAACAAGGCACAGGTCTGGCTCAGAGAGAGTAAAAACGTAACCCAAGAGTCATTGCTGCTATTAATGATTTTATCATTGGTTCCATGGCTGTTATCATTGCTATTAACTTTTCTGCCAATTGTCATTGTAATTTTGTTACCATTGGTCTTGTATACTCATCATCTTAGAGATGAATATCCTGAAGTGAAATTTTTTAAAACCTACAGAAGTTTCTCTAGCATTTGGTAAAAAATAATCACCTGATGATTAATACTTCCAAAGTGAGCAAATCCTTCTTTATGAGCTTTTTCTGGATAAATTTGAAAGTTTAAATTTAAAGTTTAGCCCTTACCTTTTGTAGTTGTTGGTTAATTAGGTTTTCCTTTTTTTTTTTTTTTTTTTCTTTCTAGGATCTGCCATTGTTCCTGCTGAGAAGCCAACTAGACCATGTTGATGTGGCCAGTCCCTCTGCTGCTGTCTGGGTCCTTGTTATGTGTCCTGGCATAGAAGGAGTCATAATGAGATGGATGAGTTGATACAATCAATCAATCTTGCCTCTTTCCACCATACTACTTCAGGCTAGACCCATGCTTATGGGGCACTAAGTAAAGGGAAATTTTGGTTACATTGTATTAAATTTTTCTTTGACTAATTACTTTTCAGAATAAAGATTTTGTTCCTTACCAACCTCAAAAAATGACTAGTGAAATTTCTTGTTTTTAAAGCTTTTTTTAAATGCCACCATAATCTATATTGATGACTTTAATCCAATTATCAGTCATTAAGAAAAAAGGAAATAAAACAAATTTTTATTACTAAGCATAACACATATATAAAGATGCACAATATAAATGTGCAGTTTGATAAATTTGTGTGTGGAGAGGTGTTGCTAGTGGTTGAACCCAGGGCTTCACACATGCTAAGCATGTACCACAGAGCAATACTCCCCAGCTTGATAAACTACAAGGAGCACGCCCTTATATAGAACCTTGCCAGTCACTCCAGATGTCTTCCATAGGTCTTTTACCCACTGAGAGTAACCAGGAGTTTCATTTTAGAAAGTAAATATGAAACATAGAAAGTAAAAACAGGTATTTAAGGCCTTCAAATCTTCTGGTGCAGATACTTGAGTGTCTTTGGTGATGTGAACAACTCAGTGGTGGAGGTGGCAGAAGCCAAAGGGGAGTCAAAGTGTCCACACTTGACCTGGTAAGATGCTCTACATCGTAGTGGGAGCAGAAGGTTACAAGAGAAGCTGAATCACACACAGGACAGAGCTGGAACCCACTTTTCTTCTCCTTTCACTTTCTAGAGGAGATTTCCATAATATCACTTTTATTTATTAAAATAATGGTGATAGTAGATAATAGTTAGAATTTAAGATAATATGTTAGTCAGCTTCCCATCACTGTAACAAAATGCCAGAGAGAATCAACTCAAAGGAGGAAAGCTTTATTTATGCTCATGGTTTCAGAGGTTTCCGTCTGTGGTTGCTTGGCTCCATCACTTCAAGACTTTGGCAGCACAGAACACCATGGTAGGAGCTTGTGATGAAACAAAGCTATTCACCTCATGAAACCCAGGAAGAAAATGAGTGGGGAGCTGAAGTCTGAGTATCCTCTTCACAGGTATGCCACCAGTGACTTAATTTCCTCCCTGTAGACCTCATCTTTCATAGTTTCCACCACTCAGGCTGGTGACCAAACTTTCAACCCATGATTGGAGCACATTTAAGATACAAACTATAATAAATAACCTTCTTGGAAAATTAGAATGATGCTATAGTTTAGACCTTGAATTGTCCCAAGACACCATGTTTTTTTTTTTTTTTTTTTTTTAATCTCCAGCCTGAGGAGCTATTGGGAGATAGTAGAACCTTTAATATGTGGTACGTAATGAGAAGTGAGAAGTTTGGTCACTGGGGATATTCCCTTGAAAGAGATACTGGGATCCTGATCCCTTCCTCTGTCTCTTAGAGGTTCAGGCCACCGTGAAGTGAATAGGCCTCCTCTGCTCACATGCTCCCACCATGATGTACCATGTTACAACAGGCTGAAACTATGAGGCCAAATAAACTTCTGCAGGTTATATGTTGGTTGTCTCAGGTATTTTGTCATAGCACTGAAAAACTAACCAATAACAACAACAACAACAAAATCACAACAATCCACTGTGTTTCAGTCACTAATTATTTTTGTCTTTATTCTTGCTGTTACTGGTTCATGCCATTAGATACCACATTTTTAATCTCTTTTCTCCCTTCCATCCCCATGCTTATTCCAACGAAACCCCTCTTCCCTCAGATATGTGAGGTAACATATATACTCACACATATAACTTTATTGAAATAAATTATATAAAATATGGAAAACAGCTGATAGTTTTTACTTTTGAATAGTTCAAATTGCTCAGCCCTTGCATTGTATACCAAGTGCAACCAAATACTAAACTCTTCCTGTTCATATAAAACTTGTAACCTTCTTTCAATTTGCCTGTATGAGCTCTCTTGCATTTATATTTGGATAGAGTTGTCCTTTTAACCTGAACTGAGTAGAATAAAACTGTTTATTTAAATACCTGATTAAATTAAGTAATCAAAATTTCTTCATACCTGACCTACACTTTCCTCTTGTGCTAGTAAAATCCTAGTTGTCTTTGAAAATTCACTGTGAGTAGATATTTATAGTGATTTTTCATAGGACTAATATTCTAGTATAAAAAAAGTTTTTACAAATCAATAAGAAACCTCATGTAATAGACAACATATGAAGAGTGGACCAAATATGAAGACAAAATGGACAAAATATGCAGAGTGAATTCAGAGTAAAAATGCAATAAGTGAAATCGTAGTTATCAGACAAGGGAAAATACAGAAACCATTACCAATTATTGATTTTTATATTGACAATAGTTTTCAAAATAGTGATAAACAAATATTGGCATGGAAACGTGACCATATGTGGTTCTCAGAATTTGGCAAGAACTTTTGCATTATCAAATGTAAGTTTTTCTAAAAATCCTAGATATAGACATTTAATTTAAACAGCTATTATCAAGGGTCCACAAAGGTTTATGCATGAATATTTTAAAGATGAACTTGCTTATAACACTGGAAATAACCTCAATTTTTATCAAGTAGGTGAGTGATTATAAAATCATGGTGTATTTGTGTCACAGAACTCAGATCCCTTAAAATGCAAGCCTTGGACAGACCTGTAAGAGATATCAAGTGGAAAAAATACAGCAAGCAATACTTACATGTTTGTTTGTAAGAAAGAGCACATGTATAAATGTTTATGCAAAGTTACCAAAAGAGGACTTGTAAGGGTACACACCAAATTGTAGAAAGCTGATATTTCCTAGGGAGGCAGGAATCAGAGAGAGGAATAAAGGGGAAATTGAGAGAAAGGAACTGGGAAAAGATTAAAAGAACACTTTCATGTGTTATTCTGGCAATTTTAATCTTTTAAAAATAGAATATACTCAGGTATTATATAATTAAATGACAAAAGAAAAATAGGCTATTCAAGTTCAATGTAATAAATCATCAAAAAGGAAAGATTTTTAAAATTATTTGTAGCAGTACTTCATACATTCTGCATAGTAACAATTGCCTCAGTGTATTGCATTCCACCAAACTGGCCCTTGTGCTTTGTTGTCTGGTGTCTTTTTTATCCAGAAACATATGTCATCAGAGTGAAAATTTACTAAGGGAATATTTTCCCTTTAAGTAAAAGTTTGCAATTCAAGATTATAAAAATATCATACAAAAACTTTTAATAACGTTTTTATAATACACCATATTTTTTATTTTATTTTTTTATAATACACCATCATTTCATATATGAATGCCTGCCTGATACACCTAATGTCTTTTTCTCTGTTGCAAGGTAGGAGTTTAACATTTTTTTTTTTACATAAGGGCTTAATCATTCAACTCAAAGTTTATTACATGTTTCTCTTTTTCTCATTAATTTAAAGTATATATTTTTCACGAATAAATTATTACAGACACAGATGTGTGTTTTCCAGATTTTCTCTTTCATTAGTCTATTTTCTATTATTTTGCAAGTACCATTGAGTTTTAATTATAAGTTTGCAGTATGTTTTTCAATACAATAAAATGAGGTCCCATCATTGTTACTAGTTTCTAAAATTTCTTGACTATACTTTTGTATCTTTTCTTAAAGTTAGCATGTCAACTGCCATTAAAAATCCTCTTGCAATTTTGATTTGAATTGTACTTAGATTATAGATACATTTAGAAAAAATTATATGTATTTATAATATTTAATTTTTCTACCTGACATACATCTCTACATTATACTCAGTTAGGTGTTCTTTTATGTTATTTGATAAAGTTTCACTTGATTGTTTTGTTCACATAAAGTTGCTTATCTCTAATTAATGCTACTCCAAGGAATAGTATATTGTTACTACTATTATGAAAGGCATTCTTTATTTTCATTATATTTTTTGATTCTTCTTAGGAAAGCACATTGCTTTTATAATACTGACCTTTTATCTCATCATCACCTGATGAATTCTCTTATTTTCATGACTGCTTTTTCTGTTCTTAAAAACCCTTGGTAAATCATCATAAAGTCTCTTAAGTATGATCTGTTTTTTTTCTATTTTAATATTTATTTCTCTCATGTAATTCCCTTTACATGAATCTTTGATTCAGTGCTAAATAGGCAGTACTTTTTCTTGTTTGATGGGAACGATTCTGATATTCCAGCTGTACATATGGTTTGGACTAGCCCTTGCTGGCACATACCATCTTTCAGGTTGACACGTGCTCTTCTGTCTCAGCTCATGCTCTGTGGTTGTTGCTATTTGCTTACTTTCCATTTAAATCATGAATGTCATTTATACAGAGTTACCATACATATTGGATATAGTTTGGAGCATGTTTAAGAATCAGAATTCCGCATATCCTGCATGGCTTCACCTCCTCACTCTCCTATGCCTTTGAGTATTTCATTGGAAAATTGGAAGAATCAATACGATCTAGTTCACTGGATTATTTTAGAAATGAAAGGAGCCCACTGTAAAATAGCTTAGAAGAGTGCCAGGTAAAGCACACTTCAAAATTATTATTTTAATTATTGAAATTTTCATTTTCATCTTTAACATAGCAGCTTATATCAATGCATTTTCTGATTTTGTTTTCATGTTTGCCTGTCTGGGACAAACCCTGTTTGATCACGATTCATTTGACCCCTCGTTGGGGTGTATTACCTCACAGTTGCCTCTTTTTACAGCAGAAATTTTGGTCTGACATTTTCTTATTGTGTGAATAAATGAGTTTACATCTGTTTGTTTGTATGTGACCATCATAATTTTTTTTTTGTCAAGATTATAGTAACATCATCTAATGAGGTAGAAAGGTGTTCATCTCTTTGTGCATCTTGAGGCACTTTCCATTTCCTTATATAAAGACTCTACAGGACTTACCCTCAAAATCTTGGAGTCATTTTTAGTGACAGATATCTAACAATCTTTTATGTGTCTTCAAAAATTATTGATGTATTCTGTTTTTCCTGGTATGGAAAGAACCTTGATACTTTATACTTTTATAGAAACAATCATTTTTTTCTTCTGATTTCTATTTTTGGCATAGTAATAATTATTTTTAATTTCTTTCCAAGTCTATGGAAACCATTTTTCATATTTTAA